GGGGACTGGGAGTGCGGAGCCTGGGGGTGCTGAGCCTGAGCGTGTGGAGTCTGGGGGTGCTGAGCCTGCGGGTGTGGAGTCTGGGGGTGCTGAGCTTGAGCGTGTGGAGCGTGGGGGTGCTGAGCCTGGGGGTACTGCGTCTTGGGGTGCTGAGCCTGCGTGTGTTGAGTCTGGAGGTTCTCCGGGTGTCCGGTTCTGGCGGGAGCCCCTCTCTCCGCAGCGGCTTCGTGAGTGGTACGCTCGACGCTATCGCCATGCTACTAGTGCTGCTGGTGCTGGAGCTGCTGGAGGTGCTGCTGGTGGTGGAGCTGCAGGAGGTGCTGCTGGTGTTGGAGCTGCTGTAGGTGCTACTGGTGCTGGAGCTGCTGGAGCCGCTGGTCCTGGAGGTGCTCGTACTGGAGGTACTGGAGCTGCGGGGGCTGGTGGTGCTGCAGGCGTTGGCGCTGCAGGTACTGGTGCTGCTGGTGCTGGAGCTACTGGAGATGCTGCTGGTGCTGGAGCTGCTGGAGGTGCTGCTGGTGCTGGAGTTGCTGGAGGCGCTGCTGGTGCTGGTGCTGCTGGAGGTGCTGCTGGTGTTGGAGCTGGTGGTATTGCAGGCGGTGGCGCTACAGGTACTGAAGCTGGTGGTGCTGCGGGAGTTGTTACTCGAGACCCTGGAGCTGAGGGTACTGGTGCTGTCTCTGCTGTTTCTGGAGGCGCAGCACGCCCGCGGCCGTACTACGTTCCGCTCCTTCAGCAGGTTCTTGGTCCTCCTCCTCCGTTTCTGAGTCCACCGCCTGTCCAGTCACAGTCGCAGTTCCAGCCGGCCTCTCCACTGCCTGGTCCTTCTCCTTACTATGGACCGACTAGAGGTCTTACGGAGCGTCGTGAGCCTGAGTCGCGTCCTGTGTCGCCTGAGTCTTGTCCTGCGTCACCTGAGTCTCGTTCTGAGTCGCCTGTCCGCACTGTTCGCGCTGGTCGTCGTGTTTTGCGTCCGCGTCCTCCTCCTGTCCCTGGCACTCACTCTATGACTCTGCGTCCTTCCACTGCTCCACAGCGTGTCCCTCTGCCGTCTCCTCCTGCGTCCTCCTTTCCTCACGGTCCGGACCCGGAGTCTGACTCCCTTCGTGCTGCTAGTCCTACTCTCATGCGCTTTCTGGCCACTACTGTCACTGACTCTTTGTTTGAGTCCACTGCTGCGTCTGCTCTCGTTGCTGAGCTTGTTGACTTTGCTGCAGCCTGTCGCCTAGACTTCGCCACTAGTCTTATTGCTGAGTCTGCGTCTGCGTCTGTCTGTCCTCCGTCCGTCGGGGGTGAGTGTGCTCTTGGCACGGACGTTCTTGAGGACAGACAGGAGGAGTTTGAGTGCTTTGCCACTGCTGTACCTCCTCTCGTGTCCATGCTGCTTGTCCCTGAGGGAGACCCGGATGCACCAGACATCCCGACCCCGCGCTCTTACGCAGAGGCGATAGAGGGTCCCTACTCCTCTCAGTGGCAGGCAGCCATGGACACCGACGTCGACGAGGTTCCCCCGCCTGGGGCGAACATCGTCAGTGGCATGTGGATCTTCAGGGTGAAGCGGCCGCCGGGTTCTCCGCCTGTCTTCAAGGCACGTTACGTTGCACGTGGCTTCAGTCAGCGAAAGGGAGTTGACTTCTTCCAGACCTTCTCCCCTACCCCGAAGATGACCACTCTTCGGGTACTGCTGCACGTTGCCGCTCAGCGTGACTACGAGCTCCACTCGCTTGACTTCAGCACAGCCTTCCTACAGGGCAGCCTGCACGAGGAGATCTGGCTGCGCCGCCCACCTGGCTTCACTGGGTCGTTTCCTGCTGGTACCCAGTGGAGCCTCCGGCGGCCAGTCTACGGTCTCCGCCAGGCACCCCGTGAGTGGCACGACACACTGAGGACGACTCTTGCTGCTATTGGTTTTGCTCCTTCCACTTCTGACCCTTCTCTGTATTTACGCACTGACACCACTCTGCCGCCGTTGTACGTTCTCGTGTACGTAGACGACCTCGTCTTTGCTACTGCTGACACTGAGGCACTCGCCCACGTGAAGTCTGAGCTGCAGAAGAGACACACGTGCACAGACCTGGGTGAGCTGACAAGCTATCTTGGCCTGTGGATCACCCGGGACAGAGCACAGCGCACCATTACCTTGATTCAGTCACACATGGTGCAGCAGGTCCTTCAGCGCTTCGGCTTCACGTACTCCTCGCCACAGTCCACTCCTCTGCCTACCGGTCACTCGCTCTCAGCTCCACCTTCGGACGAGTCCGTAGAGCCGAGTGGCCCGTATCCAGAGCTTGTGGGCTGCCTCATGTACCTGATGACTTGCACTCGACCTGACCTCGCATACCCTCTCAGCCTTCTGGCTCGCTACGTGGCTCCCGGCCGGCACCGAAAGGTCCACGGGGATGCTGCGAAGAGGGTGTTGTGCTACTTGTGTAGTACATCGGGCATGGGGCTCGTGCTTGGAGGACGGGCTTGAGTTGTCCTCACTGGTCACGCTGACGCCTCCTGGGTTGACGACTCAGCTACGCAGCGGTTGTCACAGGGTTACACCTTCAGTCTTGGCTCCGGTTCTATCTCTTGGCGGTCTACCCGCTCTTCTTCTGTTCTCAGCTCCAGTTGTGAGGCTGAGATCTACGCTGGGGCCATGGCTGCACAGGAGCTACGCTGGCTCACCTACCTGCTGACCGACTTGGGAGAGACGCCTCGTTCTCCTCCAGTTCTGTACGTCGACAACAAGGCCATGCTTGCCTTGTGTCAGGAGCACAGACTGGAGCACAGAACGAAGCACATTGCTCTGCGCTACTTCCTTGCTCGAGAGTTGCAGCAGCGTGGCCAGCTTCGTCTTGCTTATGTGGCCTCTCAGGCCAACACTGCTGATGTTTTCACCAAGGCACTTCAGCCTTGTGATCATCAGCGTTTCTGTACTGTGTTAGGCCTTGTACCTACTGTGCCTCACTTGTTGACTTCTTGACTCTGCTTGTACTGTACTCTTTATACATATCCCTGCATGCTTACACTTGCTAGGCTGTGTTCACTGTATTGTTTCCTCTCCTTTATATAACTCTGCATGTGAACTGGCCTTGTGGCCATTTGCTTGTGCTCAGACTGTGTGGTGACTTTGTGATCCACCCTGAGCTTGCTTTGCCTTTCTTGACTAGTCTTGTGACCTCTTGTTCTCCCCCACTTTGCCTATGGGGGTGTGTCAAACTTATATGCTATAGTCTGTTTAGGCTGTAGTGGGGTAGTTCTTATAGGGTACAACACTTTTAGGTTTCCTACTTGTACCCACCTGCTTTCTAGTTCAGTCATTCATTCGTTCATATTCTAGCAGAAACTGACACTAAATGCAATTCCTACACGTTCCAAGTGTAGTTGCCCGGGAGTACAGGGAATCTCAGATTTCTGCGGTGTCAGCACCGCCTGGCGGTGACTACTAGACAAATTTGCCCCGTGTTATTCGCTTTGATGGCTGCTTTGTTTGCGCGCTTGGTCCGATCATTGGCTACTTTTGCAGCATTATGTGGGTTGACCAATGACAAGGTTGCAACAGAGCGATGCTGGGAGGCTGCGATGCGAGGGTTTCTGGCCCATTGCTTGTACCTGTGGTCCAGTGGCCCGTTTTGTCTAAGTCGCGCTGGCAAGCACTGATGCATCCACGCCGCTCCGCCGTGCTAACTGCCATCCAGGCTCCCATCCCATTCTGCTCCATGCTTTCTTTCCATCCGCTTGGGGTTTCATCGCATTCCTGCTTAGTGTTATCTTATTTTAAGTTCAATATCAGCCTTTATAAAAAGAGAACACTGATGCATCCGATTTTTTTTTAAGGTAACACTAAATTTTCAGGCTTTTTTTCTTGGGGACACTGACGATCAGGGATTCTATACAGAGGGACCCTAGTGCATTAACGTGCCTAAAAGTGAATCATAGGCCCTGGACTGATATATAGTACCCTAGAATCTGTACACATGCTCGCATCAGGCAGACTTCAACAAACAAATATATTACAAGTTTGAGATAATCATTTCCAAATCCCTGGGATTAAAAAATGGACAGCAAAAGAATACTTCAATTCAGAATCAATAATAAATAACACGCCTATCAATGTATTTATTCATTATGCACACATATCTATTTCACTTTATTTAACGCACAGATTAACTGCAATATTTTTTTTAATCAATTTTATGGCATTGCTCCTATATTTGGCATAGTGCAGGCACAGAATCTGTTGTAGATTGTTGTAGATTTTAGTATTATCATTGAATTGTGTTGCAAAAAAAATTGAGTGGTTCATTTCAGATGTGATGTAAATTGCGGTAACGTTTTCTTTATTCAAATCTGTATGCTGGTTGAATGTATAACGTTGTACTGAATTCAGTCTCTGTTACTTATTATCATGTACACCGAACTCGCAAAAAGACAAACGCATTCACATAGTTAAAGTTCCCACAATCCACGCGGTATTTCTTGCAGGGGCGCGAGATGATGTGGGGTGTCAGCTTTTTTGTTCTTGTTTCGTTCAGTGACTGTCCGTGATGGAATTTGCAGGCGGTGTGTGACGATCTGTGATAACCCCGTGATAGATTCGCCGGTACAGATGACGAACTGCGACGGAACAGTGACGCTTTGTGATACAGTTTCACTGTTGATGACGGGCCATGTAAAAACCCTTGATTCTGCCTGTATAATCCTCGTTTGTATTACATTCGGTAGTTTTCAGTAGTATCTGTAGCTCCTAACTTCAGTTGTGCAGTTTTGTTCTTTTGTAAAACCCGCGCACACTCATAGCATGAAGCTGGATTCCACACCAGCCGAGCTGTCCTTTCCCAACATTCCAACGAGACACTAGTGCAATTTCGAACAAAGATAGGAAGCAGGAATGCTTCCTACCGCTACAATATCCTGCTGAGGTCGGGCTTTCGAATTCTCTAAGCGTCACCTTTGCACAAGGGTGTCGCTTCTGAGGTTTACGGGTGCAGAGAGGGGCAGCGCGGGGCGGCGCTATGGAGGAGGAGGAAGCGGCGGCGTACTATCAGGACCTCGTGCGCCGCGGGTCCAACGCGGCGCGATTCAAGCAAGGCCTCGGGTTCGGCTCCAGCTCCGCCGCTGACGCCAGCGGCGACGGCGGCGCGGTTTGGACCAAAGGCGGTGCGGGGTTGACGTTCGTGGCCGCATCTGGCTGCGCCGCGTCGTTCGAGCGGGAAAATCTGGAACCGCCGACCCAGAAGTCACCGGGAGGCGGCGCGGCGCCAATCGCGGATACATCATTCGCGGAGTCGTTCGAGCGGAAGCTACAGGCGGGTCTGGCGGACGCGCGCGTGGCGAGCGTGCGCGATAAGCTGCGGAGGGGCGGAAGCGATGGGGGAAACGCGGGCAGGCGGGCGGATAGGGAAGGAGATGGGGGGAGGATCGCGGAGCGGAAGGACGTGGAGAGGCGGAAGGAGCGAAGCAGGAGTAGGGAGAGGGTAAGGAGAAGGCGGAGAAGCAGCAGGAGCAGAAGCAGGAGCAGGAAGAGGAGCAGGAGCAGCGAGAGCAGCGGACGGGAGGGGAGGAGGGGAAGGAATAGGCGCAGCAGAAGCAGAAGCAGGAGCAGCGGGGAGAGGAGGAGGAGGAGAAGCAGGAGCAGCAGCAGCAGCAGGAGCAGGGAGAGGGTGCGGAAAAGGCGCAGCAGGAGCAGACGCAGGAGCAGGGAGAGAGGCAGGAATAGGAGCAGGAGCAAAAGAAGGGAGAGGAAGAGCAGGAGCACAAGAAAAGAGAGGAGGAGCAGGAGTAGGAGCAGCGAGAGGAGGGGCAGGGGTAGGAGCAGCAGTGGAGATAGGGGGAGGAGAAGCAGGAGCAGGGAGAGGAGGGACAGAGGTGGGAGGAGGGGCAGGAGCAGCAGCAGCGAGAAGAGGAGAGAGGAGAGCAAGAGGGGGGAGCGTAAGAGCATGGAAGCAACAGCTAAAATGGATCCCAAGGTGATATAAACGGTGGGGGAAATGGAAGGAGGGGAGGGGGAGGGGGAGGGGGTGGGGGTGGCAGGTGGTCTATGATATGTCAACCTTAGTTGGAGTATACGCGTTTCGCGTTTCATACGCTAGCGTTTATCCGCTAGCGTATAAACGCCGAACGCTTCTTGGGAGGGGTCCGGTACGCAGTGAAAAAGCAGGCCCGGGCACATAATTTTTTTGGCCGGGCAGCTTGTTAGGTTAAGAGGGGGGAATGCGCGAGGTGCAAAGCACGAAGTTGGTGCCCGCAGTCTAGTCATACTCGTCGATACGAACGAGGTAGGTGAAAACGAGGTTAAAAAATCCGAACGATGAACATCGAATGGAGAATTAGAGCCGCATTTCTGCTAGAGATGAGTCTGGTTGAATCCAACTCCTCCACTCGAAATTGAGTGGAAGGAATTGGGATTGAATGGGGTGGAGTGGGTTGCGCAATGGTACACACAAGGGGTTGTTGTGGATCTGCTTCGAAATTCAATTTCGAAGTTGAGATCCCGAATGTGCGTGCGATGCCCTAATTTTCAGTTCGCCATGTCGCTAGCTCAAACCCAACTTCTGATTTTTTCCCGGGCTGCCCGAGCTTTTTTCTGCGTTTCCACACCAAAAACGCAGCGGTCGTTTTTTTAGCGCGTATAAACTCAAAACGCAAAAAGATTCGAGCGTATACTCCAACTAAGATGTCAACACAACATGGATTTGTTTTTGTTTTTTTATTTTGTTTTTTTTTGCCATGTGCTGCTATGGGTGCTCAAGTGATGCCCTGGGTCCGTAAATTTCACCAGGAGAGGCAGGCACCCCTCAGAGCAGGCAGCACGAAACTCATTTGCTCTTTTCCCGTCCGCCTCCCTCCCATGTTCCCCCTTCCCGTCTGCCCCCCTCCATCTCACCCGCTTCCTTCCTCTCTCCGTGACCAGCTGCGCGCGCAGCAGCTCAAGGAGCGAATGGCTCAGCAGTTCCAACGCGCAGGTGAGGAAGCCAGAGGTGAGCCGTGAGGAAGGCACAGAAAAAGGCAGTTAGTGGGGCGGTGAGGGGGACGTTTCTCGTTCCAACGTGCAGGTGGGTAGGTAAGGGAGGAGGGCCGTGAGTGGGGCAGTGAGGAGGGCAGAAAAACATATCCATTTCTTTTGCCTCCTTCCCGGCTCCCTTTGCTTTTTTAAACCTTTTTCCTCTCACTTGCTCTCCCTTCTCGTGTTCTCCTCCCATCTGCCTCTAACTAAACACTCTCATTTCCATCCGCCTCTAACGAAAGACTCTCATTCCCATCTGCCTCTAAACACTCTCCTTCTTACCTCCTCCCCACCAACAGCTGCAAAGGAAGCAGCAGCAGACAAAGCCACTGGGCTGGGCGGCGAGTGGGAGCGGTTCGGATTTGATTCTGCCGCCCCGCTGGAGGAGGAGAGGGATGCAGATGCTGACGTGGATGATGCAGATCCGACGGCTGGGATGGGCAGTGCTGGTGAGTGGTGGTGTATTGGCCAGTAAGTGAGATTTCTGAGGAGAAAACTAAAGGCTGTCTTGCCAGGTCTGCGGATGGGTGCTAGTGTCAAGTGGTGCAGTGAGGTCCCGTGCGGTGTGGTGATATGATGCCCTAGTATGGTGTCATGGCATCTGCTTTGGACGAGCCTCAAAAGAAAGGTGCCTATAGGTGCACTGTTGCGATTTCCAGATGTGTTTCCGCGATTCTGTATTCGAAAAAAGGGTGTGTTCGGTTCGGACTTACTTGATTTTACTATTGTGTGCTTACAATAGCGTTCTAACATGTGTCTTGACGACTGTGCTCGCCATTGTGTTCACCATTGTGGTGCATGTCGCATTGCCATACAACATCACGCTCCGGCTTCTCACAATCTCTTTCATCATAGCCTGTGCAACATAGCCTGTGCAACATAGCCTGTGCAACATAGCCTGTGCCACATAGCCTGTGCAACATAGCCTGTGCAACATAGCCTGTGCCACATAGCCTGTGCCACATAGCCTGTGCAACATAGCCTGTGCAACATAGCCTGTGCAACATAGCCTGTGCAACATAGCCTGTGCAACATAGCCTGTGCAACATAGCCTGTGCAACATAGCCTGTGCCACATAGCCTGTGCAACATAGCCTGTGCCACATAGCCTGTGCCACATAGCCTGTGCCACATAGCCTGTGCAACATAGCCTGTGCCACATAGCCTGTGCAACATAGCCTGTGCAACATAGCCTGTGCAACATAGCCTGTGCCACATAGCCTGTGCAACATAGCCTGTGCAACATAGCCTGTGCAACATAGCCTGTGCAACATAGCCTGTGCAACATAGCCTGTGCAACATAGCCTGTGCAACATAGCCTGTGCAACATAGCCTGTGCAACATAGCCTGTGCAACATAGCCTGTGCAACATAGCCTGTGCAACATAGCCTGTGCAACATAGCCTGTGCAACATAGCCTGTGCAACATAGCCTGTGCAACATAGCCTGTGCAACATAGCCTGTGCAACATGGCCTGTGCCACATAGCCTGTGCCACATAGCCTGTGCAACATAGCCTGTGCAACATAGCCTGTGCAACATAGCCTGTGCAACATAGCCTGTGCAACATAGCCTGTGCCGCATACCTGTGCAACATAGCCTGTGCAACATAGCCTGTGCAACATAGCCTGTGCAACATAGCCTGTGCCACATAGCCTGTGCAACATAGCCTGTGCAACATAGCCTGTGCAACATAGCCTGTGCAACATAGCCTGTGCAACATAGCCTGTGCAACATAGCCTGTGCCACATAGCCTGTGCAACATAGCCTGTGGCACATAGCCTGTGCCACATAGCCTGTGCCTCTTTCATCAACCTGTACACTGCCTTTCTCCATCTCGCCCCTCCCTCCCACCATCACGTGCAGGTGCGCTGGGAGGTGCAGACGATCTTGCTCATCTGGATCAAATAAAATCCTCCTTCGTCTTCTCCTCCTTCTCAGTACGTGCTACCTGCTCTTCCCAACGAGTGAGGACTGCTGGCCACGACCTCACGTGCATGTGCTCTCCTCTTTCTCACTGCGTGCTTGCTTTTTCACAGATTACAGCCCGAGTGCTTGTAGGCACAGGTCACAAACACCTTTCATCCACACCAAGGCCGTCACGTGGGCCACTGGGCCACCCACCGGGCCTTTCATCCACTTCTGATTGTCGTCACCTTTCTGTTATGCCCTGGAATTGCTGTGCGTTGAGAGCTCTACTTGATATGCCTGAACAAGTCTGCAGATGCTGTCGTGATTTGTTGTCCTGCAGGTGATTGGTTTATTTTTAATCGCTTTCTACTCTGCTAATTCGCAATGTGTTTCTTTTTCATGATTGTTGATTGGTGCGTATGATGTGACTGTATAGAATCGCGGTGCTACCACGCAGGAAGCACACGAAAATGCTATCTTCGGAGCTGCGACTACTGCAGCCAGTGAGAAGCTGCCACGTGGACAGTCCAGCAAGGCGTCAGATCCCAGCAGAAATGACGGTCAGCATGCTGACAATGCTCGCCGGTCAAGTGACCAGGGATGGGAGGAGAGAGCGCGGGAGAGAGGGGAGGAGAGGAGGAGCGAGAATCGAAGGGAGGGGAGGCAAGACACAGAGAGGGATGAGAGGAGGGATGAGAGGTGGGATGAGAGGAGGGATGAGAGGAGGGATGAGAGGAGGGATGACAGACGTGGCGAAGGAAGAGGAAATGTTGAGGAGTGGTTGCGAGAGGGGACAAGAGACAGGAGGGAGGGGAGAGATGGGGGAAAGGGAAGGGAGGGGAGGGAGGGAGGTCGAGGTAGTGATGAGAGGAAGGAGAAGGAGAAGCGAGGGCAAGGTGGGGAGCAAGCAGAGCAGCAAACAAGAGCAGCAAGCTCGGGTGGTGTGTCTGCAACAGCAGCAGTGGGAACCAAGTTTTCCCTGTCTGGAAGGAAGGGCGGAAGCAGCAGTAGTGCTGCTGGCGCCGCTGCCCCTGATGCGTTCACTGCAGCGGTGGCGGCAGCACTGGGAGTGGAGGAAGAGGATGACGAGGAGAGTGTGCCGGTCATTGTGGGGCTGGTGGTTGACACACGCCCTGCTGGTGAAGGCACACGCAATGCTGCTTCTGACACACTCCAGCCACACGCGCAAGCAGTGCAGGATGAGGTTGCTGGTGTGCCAGCTGGCATGTCGCCATTGGTGGAGGGGGGGTTGGCTGATGAGGTGGCAGGAGCAGGAGAGATGACGGGCGGGGCGGCTTCGGCATGCAATGGGCAGCAGCAGGTGTGTTGAGGGTTGTTAGAGAGGCATGTGGGGAACGCAGGCGGTACAGAAGTGTGCCCGGGTGTGCCCAAGTGTGCCCATGTGTGTGCAGGGCTGTGCGGGTGTGTTGAATGCTTTTGAAAGAGTGGCATGTGGGGAGCACACGCAGTACAGAGTGCAGTGTGCTTGCAGGTGTGTGCACACAGGTCATAACTGCCTTCGATTCTTCTTCTGTCTCTCTTTATCCTCGCTATGAGCAGGCTGCACCTCGTCCACAAGTGCCGTCGTGGAAGCAACGTGCACTGCAGCTCAAAGCAGCTAGGGCAGCCAGTCAGCAGCAGTGACGGCTGGCAGCACTGGCAGGCCACAGCACTGGCAGTCATGTGAGGTGGGGATTGGCATGCTCTCAAGTGAGGTCCTCTTTTTGTGTCGCCGGCCGCTCTTGTGGGTTGTACTCCTACCTTCTATTGTGTCCCACTGTTTGTTTTCGATATCTCTTACAGTGCATCCATTTTATAGCTGCAATTCATTCGACTAAGCATAAGTATCTTCATTAGGTTACGACAGGCACTATGAAGCAAGCCATGAGCAGCATCCACCTCTGCCAATGTTGTGACCCCTGCACCTTCACTGCACGCACAGCCCACATGTGGGACTTGAACTGCGCCACCTGGCACCAAACTTAGCCTATCGTGCTTCGCCTCAACACTTCACATCGCTCGCCCCGTCCACAAACCTCTTCCCATCCTCTCCTCCCATCACCCCATTCCAATCACTCTCCCCTTCACCGCTGCACCACTCCTTCCAGATCCCGCCTCGCATCCCCCTCCTTGATGAGGCCCTCCTCATCCACCACCAGCCCCCCCAGGTCCATGAATCCCCTTATCCGCACCTTCACCAGCCCCCACAGGTCCATGAATCCCCTTATCCGCACCTTCACCAGCCCTGCACTCTCCTTTTCACCGCTGCACCACTCCTTCCAGCTCTCGCCTCGCATCGCCCTCCTCCATGAGGTCCTCCTCATCCACCACCAGCCCCAAATCCATGGATCCCCGTGTTAACACCTTCACCAGCCCACGTGCACTCCATAACCCCGCCCTCCTCCCCTTCTCCTTCTCCTTATCTTTCTCCCTCTCCCTTGCCTCCCCTCCCTCACTACCCGTCTCCGCTCTCCTCCCCTTGCCTCCGCTCCCGCCGCCCTGGGTTGAGTGACGGTGGTGGTGGTGGTGGCTGTACAGGGATGCTCTCTCACTGCCGCCCTCGCTGCTCCTGCTGCTTGCACTCGAATGCCTGTGCACACTCCCACTCCTACTCTCACTCCTACTCTCGCGCCTACTGTCTTTCCTCTCTGTCTCGTTCTTCCCACACCTGCTGGCTCTCCTGCTCACACCACTCACACCTGCGCCACCACTGCCACTACCACCACCATCAGCAGCAGCAATACCATACACGTTCTCATCAGTCAGCTTGTCAAACAGCCCTGTCCTCTTCCCTCCCTCCCTGCCGCACCGGCTGCTCTCACCACACAACCCCCCAGCACGAGTCACACCCTGAATGTCCCCATAGCTGCTGCAGAAGCTGCTCCCACGGTTAGTCTGTGTGCTTCCAAAGGTGTCACTGAGAGAGCCGAATGGGGTAGTGCTCTGGTCGTTGCCACAGGGGATACTGGCCCTGTAAAGCAAGCCGGGCTGTGCTTCTTCCTCGCATGCCTCCAAGCCATCAGCCCCCGACCCACTCCCACACAGAAAGTCTAGCAGTGCTGTGTTAGATGGTAACTGAGCAACCATGTTGCTCGGAGGTGCTGTTGCTATTGTCGTTACTGTCGCTGCTGTGGCTACTGCTCCACTGGATCCAACACTGTTGGTGACTTCTCTAAACGGGTCTCCTGGAGCAGTCTTTAGCGAGTCAAATGCCTGCATGTGTGTTGCAGTGTCAGCTGCCATGCCGGCTGTGCTGCTGGTAATGGTGATGCCAGTGGTGGTGGTGGTGGCGCACGGTTTGCAGTGGAAAGGGTGGAGGGGAGGAGGCGGGGCGAGGATGTAGTCGGGTGATTGAATGGAGTTGATCTTGCCATCCTTGCGGTATGCCTCCATCTCCCTACCTGTGGGTGGCGGGATTAGCCAAGTGGGGGGGAGGAGGGAGGGGGAAAGGGAGGTGAGGTTGAGTAGTGCAAGAGAGTGCTGTGGTGAGCCCCCATAGAAGGGTAAGGCGAGGAGGCTAAAAAAAAAGGGAGGGAGCAGAAGGGAAGGGGAGAGTGGGGTGGGGGGGGTGAACCGTGAAAGGAGAGGGCAGGGGTTGGGTTTGATTGGGAGGTGTGGCATGTATAGGCTCTGAGACATGCATCAAGTTGGCCATCCCATGTCCATGGCATAGCACACTCAATTATGGATGGGCACATGACACGGAGGATGTGTACATCACAGCCTCATTTTCATAATGTTATGCCATCACATGCAAATACCATCACAACCCGTCACAACCCATCACATACCCTTTTACATATCCACCTGCATTCACATACGCATGCCAACACATACCCATGCCAGCCAGCACATACCCATACCAGCACATACCCATGTCATGACATACCCATGCCAACACATGCCCATCCCAACACATACCCATGCCATCACATACCCATGCCATCACATACCCATGCTGGCACATACCCATGCCATCACATACCCATACCATCACATACCCATGCCATGCCAGCGCATACCCATGCCAGCACATACCCATGGGCACGAACGTGCGAGTGCGGAAGTGCTTGGCCTGTGTGGAGCCATCGCTGTAGAGCACATAGTCATGGTACGTCGGGGAGAACTGGGGAGGCGGAGGGCATGGGGGAGAGAAGAGCCCAGAGAAGATATGGTGTTCCATTCTTGTAGAGCACATAGTCATGGTATGTTGGGGAGAACTGGGAGACGTGGGTGGGGTGAGGTGAAAATAGACCAGTTGAGATATGGTACAACGGGGAGAACGGGGGAGGGAGGGGGGGGGAGGGGGGGGCAGGGAGAGGAGAGGAGAGGCAGTCATGGTGGCAAGAAGCAGTGGCAAGAATTGGCAAGCGCATGCCCCAAGCAAAGGTGGCGCACGGAGCACGCAAGTGGTGGGGAGGAGCAACGAGCCTCACCTGGTGAACGGTGTCGTCCACCACATCCCCCACAGCTGCTGCGTGTCTCAGCCTCTGAAAGAACCCCCCCACCTCCTCCACTATCCCCCCGCCACCGCCCCCCACACTGGCAGCAGCGAAGGGTGTGACGGGGAAAGCCCATGCAAAGCCCCCTGCAGCGAGGGCCATCTCACAGCACAGCAGCAAAGACTGCAAGTCTGCTGCATCGTCTTCGGAGCGCACGAGACCCAGATGGCCCACTACAAACACCACAATGCTCTGGTGGGGGAGGAAGGGTGCAGTGGGGGATGAGAGGAGAAAGAAAGCGCCATCTCACAGCACAGTAACAGACTCTGCAGGTCTGCTGCATCGCTGGAAGCGCACCAAACCCAGATGGACCGCTTCATACACCACAATGGCCTGGGGGGAAAGGGAGAGTGGGGAGGTGAGAGGTGGGGTGGGGAGGGGGGGGAGTATGGGAGGAGAGCAGAGGCATGAGCAGCACAGAGAGAATAAGCACAGGAGAGAGCTCCAGGAAAAGTGAACACGATGGTGTGACGGGTTGAATAACATGGATGAGCTTCAGTTGAGAGTTGAGGCATGAACGGAGTTCTTGACTGGTCAAGTCTTTACCTGCCGATTCACCTGTCCAGTGTCACAGAGGTTGCTGCAGTTGGGGTTACCTGCCAGTAGGTGAGGACGACGACGAGCTTGATCATGATGAATTTGGGGATGGGGTTGAAGGAGCGCAGCAGGTCGTGGCAGCCAAAGTAGAAGAAGAGCAGCGCGTACACGGCGAGCGAGTACGACACCATGTACACACACGTCACGTACGGGTACCCGTTGGTGAGAGCGAACACGCCCTCCTCGTAAAGGTCAGCACTGTAGAGGGCGAGGCAGAGAGCTGCGAGGAGCGGCTTGATGAAGACAAACTGCAGGCAGCCGCGCTTGCAGTGGCGGATGAAGTGCCTGGTTCATGCAGGAGCGAGAGGAGGGGGGGAGGAGGGAGGAGATGATACATGGAGGAAGTGGGAGAAATCGATGGAACCACGGGTTGCTATTAGCTTGACGAGTTCTATAACCAACGAAATGGCACAGTTCAAAGGAAGGCACGTGCTGCTCATGTGGTACTTGCTTGAACAGGTGAACATTCAAGAGGATTGTGGGTCAGAGTTGGAGAATTTGGCCATGTGTACTCAAGGCCTTCAGAGTGGGACGTTTCAGTGTCCCCGTTCCTATCTTCTGTTCTTCTTCATATCATGCTCACCCATCCAGCGGTATGGGTGGAAGGCAGCACGTGAGGAGCAGCGTCGAGGGCTTGAGAACGCGTCCTGTGAGGCTGATGGCCACTGCGCCTGGCCCTCCCACCCATGCCAGGCAGAGAGACAGGAAGTTGTAGATGACCCACGCTTCATACCTGTATATGACGATTGAAGATATGTTATCATAATTATTGGTGGTTAACTATTAATGTTAGAGCCCAATCGAAAGGGAAAAACAATGATGAGAGGGATGGTAGTGCGGAAGTTCCCAGTTGCAAGGTGGAAGCATGATGCTGTCGCCTGCTGCAGCACGAAATTGCTCTTGATTCAAAGTAGGAAGTGAGATCCGTTTCTTACACGTCACGGACAGTCTTGAAATACATGGCATAGTCACTGGCCACCAGAGCACCATACGACATGGCAGCATACACCTGTAAGCAACACGCGTTTCAGATCTTGTCCGATTGTTGAAAACCCTCAACATCCAACCTCCTGCAAGCTGGTCAAAGAAATGTCTTACAGGAACCATGAAGATTATTCTAATAATGTATCTTTGGTGAGTAGGCTCTGTGTAGTACCGCAGATGCATCATCATGTGGCGAAATGAGATCAGTATAGCCGCACACGTGCAAGCCAGAGCTACCATTCTGGATGGTAGGCTCGAGAACAACCCTGATTCTGTTTCTCCATCTCCTCTTCCTTCTAGACTAAGGGTTCCGAACAGGTCGGACGCTTCATCCTCAGGCATAACCGCCATGAGGACAAGATCTGGATACCTGACTTAAACAGGTTCCTGTTGAAGATATGCTTATGCTTGGTACATCGCTGATATGAGGGTGTTATTCATGTCAGTATCAGAAGCTTATAAGACTACGAAACTCTCATTCTTCAGATCGTGGAATTGTTTGACGTGCTAGGGAAAGCAGAGAAAGCTACTGGTATGATGAGAGCCGGATTACTAACCTAAGCGGGAATGAATTGCCTACAGGAGGAGAAACCAGCAAGCCCTGCGCCTGCAGGCTATACACGAAGCTCCAAATAGTGAAGCCTACGTAAGTGATAAAATTACGGTTTCCATGGTGTCTCCGTCAGACGATTCTGGTTTGACGCTGGCTCAGCAACGGCTTATGGATTCAGGCTGATCCATCACCAGTTCAACTCTATTTTGCTCGGGGAACTAGTGCCAACCTCATCCCTTTCTGGCTGGAGTTCCCAAGGTGATGGTGGTGTCGCTTCACTAGAACGTCAGCGAACATAGTTGTGTGATTTGTGACAATGCATTCGCAACTGCGAAGATCGCGGGTCGCAATTTTTCACCGATTGGTGGCAACTCGAGTACACCTTTCTACAGAGCTCCACTAAACATGTTGACACTAGCCAATTGTACTCAAAATTGGTATCTCACATTTCTGGATAATCCCAAAGACATACATCTGAAACATACAGCAAAGCAAAAGCTGGGTCTCTTCAAAGGCAAAATCTTGGGCTTAGTCGTCATCCTTGAACTCCCTGTATTGAACCAAGACGGGCAATAACAACGAGAAGATAGGGGCAAACTGACTTTGATCGGTAGCATACCATGCTCCCAACTGCCATGCGCTTGATTTAGCATACCATACGCAATTGGCTGGTTGTGCATGTACACGTTCCATGCCCATATGCTATGTTTTATGTTGGTGAACCCAGGCCTACCACTCACCAACACACTTCATTTCTTCCTCCCTTACCTGCGGTCCAGTCCAGGTGCTTAAAACTCAAAACCCTGTCCTTCACCTTCAACCTCATCTCTCCCCTCTCCCATATTCCCCCTCACGCGCAGTCCATATATCCCATTCTCCCCACTTAACTCAACACCTGCATACCAGGTATCTGGGCTGCACGTGCTTGTACCCCCTCGTTCCCCTTCACCTGCAGTCGAGGTTTTTGGGGTGCGCACCCTTGCCCCTCACCTGCACTTCAAACACTCCCCTCCCCCTTTTCCCCCCTCACCTGCGGTCGAGGTATCTGGGCTGCACGCCAGTACCCTGGCAGGTGGTGCAGGTGATGGCGCCCTTGCCGGTGCAGTTGATGCACTCCGACTCCTCCCTCTCGCCCCCGCCCAGCTCCACCACCACCACCCCCGTGCCCTGGCAGAACCGGCACGACTCTGCCATGTTGCGATAGGGGGAGGGAGGGCGGGGATGGGAAAGGAGAACGGGAGAAAGGGAGAAAGGGGGATACGGCAGATGCATCATGCCATGTGCGTTGCAAGGATGGCCATGCTGCGCTGGCAGACCCTGCATGTCAATGGCATGCATTGCACGATACGTTCGTACATGAATAGATGGCCGGGAAGGGTGGCAGGGAGGGAGGGCCGACGCAGGTGCAGTGCATCACACCATGCAGGCAGCTAGCACTCATGCATTACATGCTAGAGGACGCTACCACCCACGCTGATACGAAAGTCAGGAACCCGTTGCAGCATTGACTCGCACAGGTGTTGGAAATCGCATCGCCCTGCTTATTCGCCCCCCTGTACGCTGAGCGCGAATGCATTCTACTGCTCGTTGAGAGGACTGCTAGGGGGGAAAAAGACTTACGAGCGCCGGTGCCTTTGCAGGGGAAGCACGGCTGGTCGTTCTCCCGCTTCTCCTGCAGAAGGGCAAACGGCAGGGCCAGAGGAGCAGTGTGGGCGCATTAGCACATGACGCACAGGGCATGCGCGCACAACGGCATGCGCGCACAGCGGCATGGGCCGCATAGGCACATGAGGGCGCTAGGAGGAGGCGCATAGCGCGGCAGAGACGGTGCGCGAATGCGTTGCCAAACGGGCGACGACAGTACGAACCGATTTGGGACGATAGGGAGAACTGGCATGAGGGAGAAGGCGGACGAACAATCAGTGCGAAGCGAACAAAGATGGACGAGAAGACAACCTGCCAACGCACTTGACGGCTCACCGACGTCGTCGCGGCTTACTGACACCTGGCTTGACAGCTTGTCGGCCCCTAGAAGACTCACCGATCCCTTGACGGCGATTTCGTAGAAAACGGGAATGCCGATGCCCACCGCGATTCCCGCCAGCCCCACTCCGACCCCCACGAGCTGCCACCCCGCACAACACGGACGGTTAGGATGATGGGAAAATAAAACAAAATATGTTAAGTCGAACCTTTCAGCAGTTGATGCTTTAGCCAGAGACCCGGGTTGTTCATACAACCCCAGATCGGCAAAATGCGTCAAAGGGTGGATTGGTTCCGCGCTTGCAAGGTAGCTTCGAGGTAGAGCGAGGCGAGTAAACTCGAAGGTTCACGAAGGTGCATCGTTCGGATTACAACCTCTGCAGAGAGCTTCGATATATGCGACGCAGCGAGAGGAACAATTACTAACGAGAGCGTGATTCTGAAATTCCCGTCAAATGCACGGATGCACGGGAGGGAGGCTCACCGTTTCACTGTCCAGGTCAGCACGAGGAGTCACGACGGCTCGCCTTCCCTTGGCAGCGCGGGAGGCTGCGGACGGGGTGCATGAGCAGAGCGACGACGCGCGGCCGAACGACGCGGACTTAGCGGACGACAAGGTAGATGGTGCGACCGCGGTGGACGGTGGCCGCAAGGACGCGGCGACGCGAAATGATGGGACTGCAGCCATGACTGGTTTATCTGAATCACCTTGAGAACACAATGTGGCCTTTTTGTGGAGTGTGTGAATCCAAGCAGTGGGAATGGATGGGTCTCAAGAGGTGTGTTCCGAGCCCAGAATATCGAGGTGGTTGCAGTGTGAAAGGCAACCACTGCACTCTAAAGCACAGACTGACAACCAGGTGTGGGTGTTTTAGATCGACAGAAGCTGAAATCAAAACGTTCAGACAGAACTGGACCCCTCGGATGAATATTCCTTGAACGAAGTGAGGTGCGGCGGGGGAGGCACCGCGTGGCGTTCTGTCTGATGCTTGTTACACGTGTCCATGTGGCAATGTCCTGCCAAATAAGCACTGAATTATTTACACATCAATAGCACACTTGACTTCAATTAGGTGTTATGGAACTCAGGGGTCCACAAACAGAAAGAATCTATCAACCTGTATTATTTACCTTGTTTGTCACTCCGCTTAGCTCCATAGCCATGTTAGCTTTTTTTGGAATAACCTAAAGGTTACAGTAACATTCCCGAAGGCTCTCCACTCGCGCGTCACTCCATAACGAAACTACGCGCCTGTATCATTATCGCAATAGCTCATATAGAGCATGCGGAAGGTCGAGGGTCACCCGAAGGTAAAAAGTCGAAGACAGTCAACGATCGTGACCCTTGACTGCCCAGTAACCGCACTTGGAAGTTAGGCGATGCAACACGGTAACTGTCAAGAATAGCAATACCGTAATACCCCGGATAGTAGCGCATATACGCTTATAATAAATTCATTTTTTTGAGGGGGGGGGGGCGCTAGTAATTGAGTAACGGCTATAAGCGCCAGCGCTTTTATAAAGGCAAAACTGAATTTCACGGTAAAGGATATCTTCGAAGCCCTCAGTAAGGCGAATACAACGCTGCACCATGCCCGCGGGGTCGTGCATGGAATGACAACGAAACTTGCCGCACAAAACCCGTCCCAGTGCAACGCACCTGCCAGTGCTGATGCAAAACCTACCATGCGGCCCAATCAGGTTGGCATGCGTTGCCAGGCAGGAGCATCTCGGCAGAACCTGTCAAAACATATGTGTTTACATTTCTCTAGGCTGTAGTGGGTTTAGCCTTAGGGGGTACAGAATCTCTCTCGACATTCTACTTGTACCCTACCCATTCACCTAATGCACTCATTCTCGTCACTATTCTAACATGGAATCAGAGTTTGTAACTTTTGGGCCCACCACCTGCTACTGCGCCTACCTCGTTCCTAGCCCCGCGCCTGGCCCGTACCTCGCCCGCGATAGGCCCGTATCTAGCCCGCGCCCGGCCCAGTCTCACGCCCGCGCCCGGCCCGTACCTAGACCGTGATAGGCCCGTACCTAGCCCGCGATCGCCCCGTCGACACCCGCACCCGGCCCGTACCTAGCCCGCGCCCCGTCGACACCCGCGCCCGGCCCGTACGTAGCCCGCGCCTCGTAGACACCTGCGCCTGGCCCGTACCTAGCCCGCGCCCCGTCGACACCCGCGCCCGGTCCGTACGTAGCCCGCGCTCCGTCAAAACCTGTGCCCGGCCCGTACCTAGCCCACGCCCCGTCGACACCCGCGCCCGGCCCGTACCTAGCCCGCGCCCCGTCGACACCCGCGCCCGGCCCCGTACCTAGCCAGCGCCCTGTCGACACTCATGCCAGGCCCCGTACCTAGCCCGCGCTCGGCCCCGTGCCTAGCCCAGCGCCCGGCCCCGTACCTAGCCCCGCGCCCGGTCCCTTCCCTAGCCCGCGCCCG